TCCCAGCAGCCAGAGTTCATGGTTATATTCTGAAGTAACCCAATCTTACATGGAGAAGGTAAGGATAGGCTACCAGCTAAGACCACCTCCATGTGCATATACTTTTTCACTTGCTCCCGCGGAGCAGGTTATATTAGTCGCACGAGTCGGCGCCTATCCAAATGAATAAAGGAACGCCTTCCGACATGGCCGAGAAAAGGTGAAGTCAGGAGCATAAAGAGCTCGATTCCGGATATGAGGTAGGCCCCAACAGAACTCTCCCAGTGATTTACAGGGTCCCACCAAATTATCCAAAGTCCCTGGGCCAGCGCCTGTTAGCAACAGCAGAAGCGACCGCTATCAGGCTGATGAAGCCCGCGATGTGTGCACAAAAGAACTTCCTCCAAGTTCCGCAGCTGCCGTGGCCCACCGTCATTGAACAGCATGCAGTCATCCGCGCTCTGTTGGCCTCCCTCTCCCTCCTCCCTCCCCTAGACTGCTCCATCAAACCCTACACTCACACCCAGCCTTCACTTATCGACCCCACCTATTTCCACGACTCACTTGTTCGAAAAGACGAACAAGTTTAAACTTGCATCGCGTTGCCATATAAATGTACAGTCCTGACGAAAAATTATCGAAAGTATACGTGCACTCGCTGAAGGGAATTTTTGCAACTTTAACCAGATAATTTCAAATAATAGCCCTACCGTTGTTACTTTGAGCTTGTAGCTGTTGCTGCTCACGAGGGCGGCCTTTAGAGAGGCAAGTTCCATATCCTTGGCCTGGAGATCCTGTTGTAGACGGTTGACGGTGCTAACCAGCTCACGATTGGCAGCCTCGGTGGCTTGGAGGCGGGTGCACTTCTGGTTCCGCTGCGTTTCCAGCATGCTCAGACTGTTCTTCTTCTCCTGAAGCTCTCGCTGGATCCGGATCAGTTCCAGATTCTCCTGCAGAGCAATTCTAAAGGCAACATGAAATACAGCAATAGAAGAGAGTGCACGCATGTTGATCCGTCCAGTTTAAATAGGACAACATCAGCTTTTCTTGAGGCTAGATACACCTGCTCAAGAAAGGAAATATGTGTCCTTCATTATGTGGTTGTTAATTTGTTTGACTTTACTGGCAATTGGAGGACCTTTAAACAATATAAACTCAATTCTCATTGGTTTATATGTCTGAAGTCATATTGGAGGATACAGGAGGTCAACGGATTGGAGGAAAATAAGGTATTCTTAGTCTGTGCCAATACCCAACAAAATAATGGAGGTCTTTCACTCAGACCTCCTCATGTGTGAGACCGCGGAGGAAGGAGAGCCTTATTTGACGTATATACCGAGTGGCTAGTTAGGCTTCGAAAACAGAGAGCTCACTAAGAAACTATTTCTTCCCTCTTTTGTCAAGGTAGTACAACTCTGAACCTAAAAACATGAACCACAAAGATAAACATGTTTTTCTAATCACAAAAACAACTAAATAAAGGATTGGCAAACAAGTCAGAAGGAAAGCAAGTCAGCAAAGTATCTGATTAAGAAAAGTGATACTTTTAAAAACCGAACTATTCCGAGTAAGATGTTAGTGAACTCCAAGTTTCAGAACAGCGTTTGGCGAGTGTACACTCGGTAAATTCTCCTCAGGCCATACAATTACATGGGAGGTTTAAATTTAAACAATCGATCAATCGTCCTTCCCTACAAGCGTGAGCCAATCAGAGCGCGGAAGGATGCAGATAGTTACGTAACCGTTAGCCATGCCAAGTTCGGGGCTTGTAGGAGGTTCTTTTGCGCGCACAAAAGCGGCTTCCTCAACCGGATCGCGTTTGC